TATTACTTTTTCATCGAATCTAGTATTGCTTTATTTGTATCATTTGTGATCAATGTGTGTGTTGTATCAGTTTTTGCTCATGGATTATACAATAAAACAAATGGTGATGTGGTAAGTTGTATATTTTACTTTTATTTCTAAATGTTAATCCTTTAATTATTTGTATATAGTTGGATATCTGTATCAAGAACAATAATACTTATTCGGATGTTTTCCAAGTGAGATAAAAATCAACTGAACTAAAGTTTATTATGATAATTGAATATTTATTTATTTATTAATGATTACAATTTTATTAGAATGATACCGAATTAGTAGAAGTTGATATATATAAAGGTGGAGTATTCCTTGGTTGTCAATTTGGCATAGGTGCCATGTATATTTGGGCAATTGGTATTTTAGCTGCCGGTCAAAGTAGTACCATGACTGGATGTTATGCCGGACAATTTGTAATGGAAGTATGTAGTGTCAATTAATATATTAATATTCATAATTTACAATATATAGTTTACATTTTAGGGTTTTTTAAATCTTCAATGGAGTCGATGGAAAAGAGTTGGATTTACTCGATTGGTTGCTATAGCGCCCACATTTTATGTAGCTTTTTTTAGTAATATTAATGACTTGACTGGTATGAATGATCTATTGAATGCTGTAATGAGCTTACAACTACCATTTGCTACACTTCCAGTAATTGCATTCACTAGTAATCCTCGTATTATGGGAGAGTTCACCAATGGATTGTAAATATAATTTAAATGTCAACATACTATACAAGCAATTTTAAACTTCAATTGTTTATTTATTTTCAGGGGAAATATTTTAATTACAATTATTTTGTCTGCTATTATAATAAGTATAAACATATACTTTGTAATCCATCACACAATCACAAACTTCACTTACAATTTGACTTTATTAATTGGAGTTTTAACATATAGTACAATTTATTTATTAATGTGTGCTTATCTTACACTGCATCTYGTTATCAGTATGCTGGATGATTGCAGTGTATTACGTAGAAATCCAGTTAGTATTATTATTTTAGTATTCATACATCATACCTTTAACATGTTTTAGTTTACTGTCATGCATAGCATATAGTTTAATAGTTAATTTAAAAATGTATTTCAGTTTGTTATTAGATTTATTGGTCCACAAATTGGGAACACTTTTTCTCAACATCAACAAACAAATTCTTCTCCTCCGAGGTAATAAGTTATAATAAGTATTTATAAAATGTATAAAACAGCCATTTAAATATTTATTGTTAGTTCAATATAAATGATCAACAGCTTTTTTTTTAATAGAATGTTATTCCCTCATGTGTTAGCTTCTGCTTATGAATGCATACAGTTTTATAATGAAATTAACTTTTCCCAAAATTAAAATATTAAAAAAAGGTTTTATGAAACTATAAATTATATTTTTGCCTTTCAGTTGTATAGCCTTTAATAAATCAAATCTCACATATTTAGAATACAGTTAAAATAAGTTTAATGGATTTCTTTGAACGTACAATATGGTATGTTATGTGTTAGTAATAAGATGGAGTTAACACATTTAACAAGATGTCCTTTTAATAAAATTTATTAAAATAATCTAACTAGTTTATGGTTGACCATAACATTGATTAAATTTTTTTAACAGATATTTAATGATCAATTTTGAACATTATAGTTTAGGTGTACATTTATTATTTAATAGYACTGTTATTTTTGTAATTAATTTTTTTCTATTAGTTTAATAATTATTTAATTTGTCTTTGATTGTTAACCTATTGGTGTATAAAATATATTTCAACAGAAATAATGATTTAACAATTATGTAATTAAAAATTTTA